CGCCGCCGCCGCCGCCGCCGCCGCCGCCGCAACCTAGCCTCTACACCTCTCCTTCTCGTCGCCCGTCGCTGTCGGCACGTGGCGTCCAGTGCTTCGAAGCCAGGCCGCTTCTCGACGACTTCCATCAGCACGCTTCATGGCTTCGTCCAACGGGCAATAGCGCTTGCCTCTCTTTGCCCCTTCAATCTCGCTGGCGAGCAGTGCAACAAGGCCTTGGCGTTCTCATCGTATACCCCGCCCGTCCCTTGGATCACGCCGTCACTCCTCCCAACACCGCTTGTCACATCGCTAGACGCATCCACCCAGCACCTTTGGCATCATCGTCCGCATCCCGTCTCTTTTTTTTTTCTCAGCCGCATCGATTCATCAGCTCCCGACTCCCTAATCACATGCGCACCGCACCAGCATAGATCCTTTCCCCCCTTTCCTCCTCCACCAACCGCATCACCAAAATGGGCGCCGTCTGCTGCAAGCCCGAGGTGATCGACTTTGACGGTCCCGTCGACCTGTACCACTTCTACCTGCTCCGAGCCGTCGGCAAGGGCGCCTTTGGCAAGGTGCGCGTGGTGCAGCACAAGCAGACCAAGGACCTGTATGCGCTCAAGTACATCAACAAGGCAAAGTGCATCAAGATGCGCGCGGTGTCCAACATCATCCAGGAGCGCAGGCTGCTCGAGGAGATCGACTCGCCCTTTGTGTGCAACCTGCGCTACGCCTTCCAGGACGACGAAAACATGTTTATGGTGCTCGACCTCATGCTCGGCGGCGATCTGCGCTTCCACCTCGACCGCACGGGCAACATGAGCGAAGACGTGGTGCGCTTCTACGTCGCCGAGCTCGCTCTGGGTCTCGACTACCTCCACCGGCTGCAGATCGTGCATCGCGACCTGAAGCCCGACAATGTGCTGCTCGACGAAAAGGGCCATGCGCATCTGACGGACTTCAACATTGCGGTGCACTTTTCACCCCGGCGGCCGCTCACCAGCATCGCCGGCAGCATGGCGTACATGGCGCCCGAGGTGCTCACCAAGCGCGGCTACCTCAGCTCCGTCGACTGGTGGTCGCTCGGCGTGGTGGCGTACGAGCTGCTGTTTGGACGACGCCCCTTCCGCGGCAAGACCAACTCGGCGCTCACCCACTCCATCCTCAACGACCGCTGCACGTTTCCGGACAATGTCGAGAATCTCGTGAGCCGCGAGACGGTGAGCTGCATCAAGAGCCTGCTCGAGCGCGATCCGCGCAAGCGTCTCGGGTGTCGCAGTGGCATCGACGAGTTCAAGACGCACGCCTGGTTCGCCGGCATGGACTGGCCCGCCATGGAGGCCAAGCAGGTGCCGCCGCCGTTCGAGCCGGACTCGAAGAAGGCCAACTTTGACGCGACGCACGAGCTGGAGGAGCTGCTGCTCGAAGACAACCCGCTCAAGGCCAAGAAGCGCAATGGCAATGCGGATTTCGACGCGCTCCCGCCCGAGATGCGCCAGATGGAGGAGCACTTTTTACCGTTCGACCATCTCAAGCAGCGCCGCAAGTCGTACTTTCGCGGCACGCGCGCCAGTGGCGCCACCGCTGCAGCGGCCGCGTCGAACGGGCAAGCACCACCGCAGGCGCAACAGGGCCCGGCGGGCGAGCACGAGCTGTCGCAGATCTCCTCGGTCGCACATACGCTCCAGGACCAGCCGCTTTCGGAAACCGCACCCGCGCCGGCGACACCGGCGGGGGAAGCGCAGAGGCTGACGCCCGTGCCGCACGAGGGTAGGGCGAGATCCGCATCGCCCTCCGGCTCGTTTGGGGTCGAGCGGTACAGCGAGAAGAACGACCAGCTTGCGGTGCCTGCCGCGACGTATGGGCGTGCGGGCGGCAGTGGCAATGCGCCACCGCAGCCCGAGATCGATGAAAAGGCCGCCAGCGGCCGTATGTAGCCTTTTTTTGTTTTTGCTCAATACCCTCGTTTGATTCCATTCACACACACGCGCACAGGTACACGAGTGAGGCGCACAGACGGGTGATGGAAGCGCACCGAGGAGTTTACGGAGATGTACAAGTGGATGGGTTAGGGGATTAGGCCATGCGGTCGAGACGGATTTTGACGGCCATGGCGTGGGCCTGGAGGCCCTCGCACATGGCGAGGTCGATGACGTTTTGACCGAATCCGCGGAGACCCTGTTTGGTGAGGGCCTGGGAGGTGATGCACTTTTCGAAGGTACCCACGTTGACGCCCGAGTAGCTCTTGGCGTAGGCGGCGGTGGGGAGCGAGTGGTTTGTGCCGCTCATGTAGTCTCCGCAGCTCTCGGGCGACCAAGCGCCGACAAAGACCGAGCCGGCATTGGTGACGAGCTTAACCAGCTCTTCGGGAGAGGCAGTCTGGAGGATGAGATGCTCGGGTGCATAGGCGTTGGACCATTCCAGCGCCGTTGCGCGGTCGGGCACAATCACGGTGACCGACTTGTCGATTGCCTGACGAACCACCTCGACTCGAGGCAGCGCGCGCGCTTGACGATCCACCTCGTCCTCGATAGCCTGAAGCTCGGTGGCAGTGAGTGCGATTCCGACCAGAACGACTTGCGAGTCAGGACCGTGTTCGGCCTGACTCAACAGATCGCTCGCCACAAACGCCGGATCGGCCGAGCTGTCGGCAATGACGAGCACCTCGGACGGTCCGGCTGGCATGTCGATCGACACGATCGCGTCCGTCTCGTTCTGCACGAGCATCTTGGCCGCCGTGACAAATTGGTTGCCCGGACCCACGATCTTGTCCACCTTGGGGCATGTCTCGGTACCGTACGCCATGGCAGCCACCGCCTGAGCGCCTCCTGCACACAGGATGGCGGATGCGTTGACCTTGGATGCGCAGTACAGCACCTCGGGCGAGATGCTTCCATCGGGCCTGGGTGGGGTGGCAATCACCACCGTCGGGCAGCGCGCCACCTGTGCCGGCACACCCAGCATCAACGCCGTCGAGGGCAAAACCGCCGATCCACCAGGCACGTACAATCCCACCGACTGAATCGGACGCGCGAACCTGCGGCACACCACACCCGGCATCGTCTCGACCTCGAGCACGCCATCCTCGGGTGCTTCGTTGGCCTCGACCGTTCCCGCCGCCCCGACGTCCGCGGCGCGCTTGTTGCCAAAAGTGGTCTTCTGCGCCTTGTGGAACTTCCAGATGTTGTCGTACGCAATGTCGATCGCCACCTTGACCTCGGGCTTGATCTTGGCCATCACCTCGTCGTTGACAAAAGGCGGCAGCCTGACGGGCGTCTGCAGCTTGGCCCTGTCGAACTTTTCGGTGAGCTCGAGCAGTGCTGCATCGCCACGCTGCTTGACGGCACCCAGGATGGGCCTGCAGATCTCCATGACCTGCTCGGTGCGCAGGGCAGGACGCTTGAGCAGCTCCTTGCGCTGCGACGCCGACAGCTCCTCGTATCGGTAGCTCTGGATCTTGATGGGCGCATCGGCGTCCTTGGGCTGCTGTGCCGCGGGTGTGGGAGCGGGTGCGGTCTTAGCCTTGGCCTCGGCCGCCTTCTGCTGCTCGGCAAACGCCGGCTTGGCATCGCCCTTCCTGCGCGACACCTTCTTTGCCTTGGCGTCGAGCGAGGCCTCGATCTCCTCGAGCCCAATGCCCGCCGACACGCACTTGGTGAGCGCAAAGTAGAGCAGGTCGGCCGCCTCGAATGCCACATGCTGCTTGTCGGCGTTGCTCGCATCGGCGAGCTCGGCCGCCTCCTCGCGCAGCTTGGCGCCCAGCAGCGAGGCGTCGCTGAAGAGACGCGCCGTGTAGCTGCCGGCGGGGGCCGACTGCTGACGCTGCTTGAGCGTCGCCTCGAGCTTGGCGAGGCCCGTGGCGGAGGAGAAGCAGCTTTCGCGGTTCTCGAGGTGGCAGAAGCCGGAAGCCGAGGTGCCGCGCGACTGCCTCACGACGAACTGGAGCGCGTCCGAGTCGCAGTCCTGACGGATGGAGACGACCTGCTGGGTGGCGCCGCTCGATTCGCCCTTGTGCCACAGGCCGCGGTTGCGCGACTGGTAGTGGGCGGAACCGGTGAGGATGGACTTGCGGATGGAGAGCGGCGACGAGTAGACGAGGCCGAGCGAGGCGGAGCCGGCGGCGGAGACGACGGTGGTGGCAAAGAGGCCGTCGGTGCGGTCCGAGGTGAGGGGTGCCAGGAAGGCGTCGGCGATGTCGAGCTTGCCCTGCTGCTGCTGGCCCTCGTCGGCGAGGGACAGCACCGAGGACGGGGCAATGAGGGAGGCCGAGAGCTTGGCGAGCGCCTTGACGTCGTCCACCGAAGGAACGCCGGAAGGGGCGAGCACAAAGAGCGACTTGCCGGACGTCTTGGCCTGCAGACCGTCTGCTGTGGCCTGGACGAGCTGGGCGGCGCCAGCAATGGCCGAGGCGGTGGGCAGGGTGATGACGGCACCTGCAACGGCGTTGAGCGTCTCGGGTGCGGGTGGTGCGCCCGAAGCCGAGAGGTAGATGAAACGAGTCGCAGCGACGGCGGCGTCGAACTGCTGGATGAGCTGGGTGTCGGCGGTCACGATGGCCTCTGCGCCTGCGTCGAAGAGGTCGGCGGCAGCATCGTACGAAAGAGCTGGTGCAGCGAGGACGAGGTAGGCGATGTTGGCGGGGAGTGCCGAGACGAGGTCCTGGGGCACGAGGACCGGTGCGACGCGGCTGAGGGCGCCGAGGAGCGCAGAGTCCTTGACGCTGTCCGCGTCGAGGAGCGGTAGCAACGGGGTGGTGAGCTGCTGCATCACGGAGAGGATCACACGATATTTTTGGTGAATGATGAGGGGAAGGGAAGCAGGATTGCAAGTCCGAGCGGCAAAAGACAAAAGCGCTACAGCCGGCCCTCCAACTCCAAGTCTTAATCGGACACACACGCACACTGGCACCGCTGTTGCCCAAATGACAAGGAAAGCAGCTGTGGGCTTAGATAAAAGAAAACCGCCGCCACGGCTATCAATTGACGCTCTGTGCAGCGAGGGAGAAAGGGAGAAATGTGTGACTCTTCTCGGCTCGCCACGGATCTTCCAAAATTCTTTCCGACGCCCCAACGCTCTAACAAAAATTGCCTCTGTGACTCGCCGCCTTAGTCAGCATGCCCTAATCGTTTAAACAGGCGCTGCGCACTGACGCTCAGCCGCATCTGGATATCTTTGGCTGCACGCCGGGGATCACCTTCCTATCATCCCAACACCTAGCATCCCCTCCTGCCGGCCATCCAAGATGCGCCCTACGCTGTTTGCCAGTGGGCTCGTTGCCCTCGCTGCCACCGCCATCCGTGCGGCACAGATCCCATTTGAATTGCAGTCCCCACGCGCTCCGGCGGCCAGGGTGCTCGACCATCCGCACCTGCCCGCGCACTCGCTGCGTGTCGTGTCGCCGCGCGCCGACCTGTGCGACGCCTCGGTCAAGTCGTACTCGGGCTATCTCGATGTCGACGTCGATGCGCTCAAGCATGACCCCTCCTCACACCCCGGCCTGGACTCTGCGCTCTCCACGACCCGGCACGAGAAGGACGGACGCACCAAGGGTGCCATGGAGCACTTTTACTTCTGGGCGTTCGAGTCGCGCAACGACCCCAAGACCGACCCGGTCGTGCTCTGGCTCAACGGCGGACCGGGATGCTCGTCGTTCACGGGCTTGCTGATGGAGCTGGGTCCGTGCAATGCTGTGGACCCCGCAACGCGCGGCGGCAAGCCGGGCACCGAACGCAATCCGTGGGCATGGAACAACAACGCCACCGTCATCTTCCTCGACCAGCCCGTAGGCGTCGGCTACTCGTACGTCGACTGGGCCAACCAGTCGCGTACGGACAAGCCTCCGTCGCGTGTGTTTTCCGCCGAGTCCGCCGCCCACGACGCATCCGCGTTCCTGCACCTGCTCGCCATGCACATGGGCCGCGAGATCTTCAACGGCGACGGCGAGATCTTCCCGTCCTTCCACATTGCCGGCGAGAGCTATGCGGGCCGCTACATCCCGCTTTTGGCCGATCAGATTCTGGCGGACAACAAGCGGATTGCCAAGCACCCCGAGATGGGCCTGCAGCCTTTATCGCTCGCAAGCGTGCTGATCGGTAACGGCATCACGAGCCCCAAGCATCAGTACCCTGCGTACGTCGAGTATACCTGCACCAAAAAGTCGGGCTCGGAGCATCCGCTGCTGCCAAAGAAGACGTGCGACCGAATGTACGAGAGCATTCCGGCCTGTCTGACGCTCGTCGAAAAGTGCAACCGTAAAGACAAACACGGCCGCACCTACGATACGCTTGCGTGCAAGGCTGCGTCGGACTACTGTGAAGGTGCTCTCGCTTCTCCGTACGACACGCTGAAAAAGTCGCCTTACGATTGGCAACACCCTGCCAAGTACGACGAAGAGGACTGGGTGGCTGCATTCCTCAACGACGCCGACACCAAGCACGCCCTGGGCGTCGACGGCAAAGGTCCCGGCGATAAGCACGACGGAGTCTTTGTCGGATGTTCCGACGATGTCTACGCCAACTTTGGCAAGACGGGTGATGGAGCACGCGATTCAAGCTGGGCGGTGACGAGCATCCTCGAGCAGGGTGTGCGTGTGCTGACCTACTCGGGCCGACGCGACTTTATCTGCAACTACCTCGGCAACCGTGCCTGGAGCGAACACCTCGCCTGGTCCGGCAAGAAGCACTTCAACAAACAGCCGCTCCAAAAGTGGTTCCTGCACGACAAGACGCAGGGGGGAGAGTTCAAGAACGCCAACAACTTGACCTACGCCATCGTCGACGCGGCAGGTCACTTTGTCCCCCACGACCAGCCCCAAGCCGCCCTCGCCATGTTCAACACCTGGCTCCACTCGGACAAACCCGGCACTCTCTAGATCCTTCCCTCGGCATAAATCCCCAGCAATCATCCCCTCTCTCCCAATCGTCTGGCCCTTGGAATGGCACTGCTTCGTCTCGTCATATCGGAAAAAAGTGTGACCCGTGAATGCGTCCATAAGAGCATTCGCCACCAACCCAACCTCGATCACACTGCTCGCCGACACATCTGCTGAGCATTCAACACAGCGCGACCAGAGAGCGACGAGGACGATTGCATTCCAAACAAAGTGCGAAAGAAGAGATGAGGTATCGGGGCTTATGCAGGCGAAGGTGAGCGGTATCGTGTATGCGGTCAGACCGAGACAGGTGCGGGCTGGGGTTCTTGCGACTGGGGTGCGGCGTGGTGGGTGTGGTTGTGCTTGTCGTGCAGTTGGGCCTCGGTGTGTGCACGCCCACTCGTCTGGTGCGCTGCGACTTCGGCCGCCTTGCCACCCACCAGACCTGCCGAGACGCCGCCAACAACAGCAGCAAAGAAGCTGGCGTCACCGTGCTCCTTTGCGTGCGGCTTGGCATCGTGGCTGACGGCGGTCTGGTTCTCCCACTCGTTGCTCTCAAGCTGCGGCGGCAGTTCCTGCTGCGACGTGTAGAAGCGGTCCAGCTGGCTCTCGTCGTCGCCCTCGGCCTCGTACACGGGCGACGCCTTTTCCACCACGGTGGAGCCGTTGCTCGACTCGGCGCGCGCAGCCACGGGCGAGACAGCCTCGTGGTAGCCCGAATCCTGCTTGGCGGGTGCGGTAGATCGACGCTCATCGCCGCCGCGGATGACCCACTCGGACGCGCCCACCTGCGAGTCGCACAGCGTGCGGAAGCGCTCGAGCTGCTCGGCGCGGCGCTGGTCGGTCAGCTTCACGAGCTGGGGCCAGTACGATTCGTGATCGTAGGGGAAATCGAGCAGGCCGCCGAAGTCGGTGGCGAGCTGCGCGTTGGGCACCTCGTCCTTGATGGCCTCGTCGAACTTGCACTTTCCCTTGGTGACCGGGTCGATGAAGGGGTAGATGGCGTTCCAGAAGGCCTTGAAGATCCAGGGCACGTTGATGCAGAGCGCAATGCCCAGACGCTCGACGTAGTGGTTCTGGAGGATGTAGAGCATGAGCTTGGCGTTGCTGATCGAGGTCGGGTTGCGCTTCTTGCCGCCAAAGTTGATGAGCAGCGCGAGCATCTCGACGCCGGGCGGCATGAGGTCGATGGCGCGCTCGAGGATCCAGACGGCGTACTGCATCTGGCGCGGCGTCTCGTCGGTGGTGTTGCGCGAGGGATGCATGTAGTGGAGCGGCCGGCCCTTGTTGTCGTAGCCGAGGATGGTCTCCTTGCCCGTCATGGCTTCCGGCTCGAGATCTTCGGCCTTGAGGCCGTCGACGCCGTACTCGCGACGCCAGGCGATGGTCTCGGTGAGACGCTTCTTGGCCGAGGCGACGTCCCACTTGGTGGCGCGCAGGTAGCGGATCATGGACTCGCGCGAGAGGTTGCGCATCTTTTCCCACTCGGTGAGCGGCTTCTTGGGCGAGGTGCCCTTGAGCGAGGTGGGAAACTCGTCGATGGACTTGAAGTGCTGGAGCATCTCGTCGTACTTTGCCTGCTGCGAGTCGGAGAGCGGAGCGGGCGGGGCGAGCTTGACGCTGGGATCGGGAGCGGGGAAGATGTGCTCGAACTTGCGCACGCCGCCGGCCTTTGCGTCGGAGGAGGGGGTGGCTGCGAGGTCGAGCTGGGACGAGGAAGCGCCCGCCTGGCTCTCGGAAGCGGCTTGTGGACGTCGGTGGCCCATCATGAATCCAGAGGCGCGGCCGAAGATGGAGGAGCGTGTGCCGGTGCTCGAAGCGCGGGATTGGGTCTTTGTAAGGTCAGCGTGTTGTGAAGACATGGTGGAGGAGAGGAGAGGAGGGAGGGCGAGAGAGAGAGAGGTGTTTAAAGATGGAGCAAAGTTTTGGTGCGTGGTGCGAGTGGGCTACCGGGGTTACGGGATCAAGGGTGCCAGATGCGCAGCTATGACGACGGGGGCCGACGGGTGCGACGAGTGAGAGTCTAGAAAATCGCCGCGGGAGACCCTTGCGTTTGAAAGAGCCAAGAGAGAAGCCAATCGACTCGTGGCAGAAAAGGCTTGCGGTTGCAAAGTTGGACGGGCGGGGGTAAGTGGATGCGGTCGTGGTAGGGATGCAAGCAGGACGGAGGGGGATGGAAGTGTAGATCCGGAGCAGCAGCCACGAGGAGGCGGCGAGGAGGAGCAGCCCAGCTGAGCCCTGGGATCGGACGGCTTGGCACTTTGCAACTGTGCTGCACTCTGGCACGGATGATCCGACTCCGGGCAGCCTCGTTGGAGAGCCGAAGAAATCACCGCGTCGGAAGGGCCGCCCGCCACCTGCAAAGTCAAACTGAAGGCGCCCAAACCCACCGAACTCTGCGCTCAAAAGCCAGCTGACACGGCTACTTTTCCGATTTTTTTCTTTCTCGAGTCCACGGAGATTAGGCTCCGAGACGCGTTTCGTGCAGAGGCGGCGGGTAGTGCGCTTGTGTCATCGCTCATCACTTGCGTTCGCGCACTGACGTGAAGGCGCGTCGCAAGGCTGTCAGCTGCGCCGCTTGTCATCCTCGAGCTTCGACCAAACCCTCATGCTTTGCGACCTTATTCTTTTTCGGTAAATCAAAGCTCGCTGCCAGCTAAGACGCAGCACCACCGATCTTTGTTCGAAGATCTTGGTGAGCTCGTACGAGCTTCAGAATTCTCTAGCAAAAGGGAAGCAGATGCGAGTGGACCAAGTGGTTGACCGTCCGGCACTTGGTCTCCGGCTTTGGTTGGGGATCGTGCGTGCCTGACGCGCGAGCCGTGCGAAAATTGGCGTCGCCGCGGTGGAGTGCGGAAGGACTGCGGGACACCCGCGGCATTCGCGTATGCTGGCGGCTCGCCTACACATGCTTAGGCCCCCGGGTCCCACCTCCCGCGGAACCCAGCCCAGCGTGACTTAGGCAACTGCTCCCGGCCAAGTGATGACTCAATCAGATTGTTTCTCTGGCGTTCCCTTTGCACCGCGGCTCGTGCTGGTCGAACAAATCTGTCGCAGTGGCAAGAGTGAGAGTGAATACATCCGCGAACTATGACGGTGGAGACGATGTGGTCGTTGCAATGACTCAATCGCTGTCGAGTTTCTGCCGGTGTCAAACGTTGTCGAATTGCATAGGATCTACCGACGTGCAGCAGCAAACCGTTGACCTTTTGCCCGCCGGATTTCTGTTGGTTGTGCGTCTCTCACACGTGGAAAAATCGGCCGACGAACTCTCGATATACAGTAGAGGCTCGATGGAAGCTGGGCCTGCCCCACCTCCGTCACACAGGCCACGTTGCCAAGCCCCACACCCACCTCATCTTCATGCGCATCACATCCTCTGCAAAGCATGGATCGAGTTCGAAATTAAAGCGGAACCACACGGGCGAAGCATTACAAAAGTACATGGGTCCACATCGACCTAGAACAGTCCCGAACGGCCATCCTCAAACTGGATCGGCTCATCATTATCCTCCTCCTCGTCAGCATCTTCTTCCTCCTCGTCAGAGTCCTCGTCAGAGTCCTCGTCGCGGCTGCGGCGCGATGCATCGCTCTCGTCCTCGTCCGCCTCTTCAGGCAGGTGCTCCAGGTTGGTCTTACCTCGGAAAGTGTTGAAGCTGTAGAAGCTCGCGCTGGCGCTTGGTCCCAGGCTGCCGCCGCTGCTGCTGCTGCTCGGCGTCGTCTTCTGCGTGCGCGCCGGCGACGCATTCGCCGACATCGACGGCTCCGTATCGCTGTCCGCATCCGCCGCCTCCTGCCCAAATCCGCCGTCGCTGAACTGGCTCGGCGACAGCCCGCTGTCTGCGCTGCCCGCCTCCAGCCGTCCATTGCCGTTCGCCTTGGGCTTGCCGTAGAACTTCTGTGATGGCTGCCGAGACAGAGAGTCGTACACGTCCAGATCCATCAGGAAGCTGCCCGGTGCCGACAGCTCCGCAATCGACTTGGCAAGCGGCGTTCCGTCTTTGGGCGTCGCGGCACCATTCTCCGTCACGCCATCCTCGCCCACAGCAGCCGCCGCATCGCCGACCGTGGCAATACCCAGCCCAGTCGTGGCCGGGACAGCCGCGTCATCTGCCTTGGCGATGACCCTGTTCTGGAAGACAGAGAGCTGCTTGGGTGCGGGTGTGGATTCCTTCGGCGTCGTCGGCGTGTCTTTCGGCGGTGGCTGCGGCGGAGTGGGCGTCACCGCACCGTTGGGTGTCACAGCACCGCTGCCTTCCTCCTTTCGAAGCGACTTGGTCGACACGCTGTGGTGCAGGTTGTTCGCCCCTCCGCGCGGCACCGTCAGGTGGCTCTCGAGCGACGCCTTGGCTTTCGACGGCTCCTGTCGCGACTTGCTTCGCAGTCCACCCAGCTCGAACCTCTTGCGCAGCTCCGACATGGACTGCGCCTTGTTCAGCCCAAACGCGCCCGACGGCATCGAGACATCGCTCGGGCGTCGGCGCGTGTCGATCGAGGTGGCGCGCGACTCGAATTCAATGTCGGTCTGCTGCGTCTCGAACGAGTCGCGCACGCGGCCGTCGTACGAGATCTTGCGCATCGCCGACGCCGATCGCGGCCCAGCGCTCAGCCCTCGTGCAGGCCCAAAGTCCGAGCTCAGATCGGCCATCGACTCGGACATCGGCAGCGACGCCTGCGACTTGCTGAACCGACCGGGGAAGCGGCCCCAGATGCTCGGCCGAGCAAATCGCGAGCTGCCCGTTGCGGACCCCGTCGGGGCAGCCGCTGCAGCACCAGCGCCGCTCGTCGTGCCAAAGCTGCCGTCCAGACCGGCGGCATCGGCCTTGCTCGACTTTTTGCCGCGCGAGCGACCGAGCGAGCGCGTCTGGCGACGGTTCTGGTTGCCTCCGGCCAACATGGCCGCACGCGCCTCCTTCTCGTCGACCGTATACAGCGGCTTGGGCGTCTTGAGCGACAAGTCACACCCGGCTTGCGCAAGGATCCTTGGCAGGTCCATGTGTCCGTCGGCCGTGGTCATGCGGTGCGTGAACGAGCATTGCAAGCCCGGTCCGAGAATAAAGTCTCCGCCGAGCAGCTTCATGTCGCCTGGATTGCGGATGGGCATGTCGAAGAGTCCCTTCTTGATGGCAACCAGGATGCCCTTGGTCATGCTCATGCTCGCATAGTCCGGGCGAGCGCACACCGGATTGGCATCGTTGGTGCGCAGCGTCATGCCGAGCGCGCGATACACGTTGCGCTTGGGATCCGCAAACATCGGATAGGGCACCTGCATCACCTCGCGGTACGCCTTGATCACGGACCAGTCTCCTTGACCCACAATGATAAAGTCCATGTTGGCCTTCTTGAGCGGCAAGGGGTCGATGTGTCGGATCGACATGGCGAACTGCTGGCAGAAGCCGCACCACCAGTGTCGCAGGAAGCACACCAGCGTACGTCGCCTCTTGAACAGATCGCCGAAGATCACCTCCTTGCCCGTCTGGTCGTACACCAGGCACTGCGACGCTTCGAAGAGCTGCAGCATCGACGGCGGATGGATGGCGTACGATCCCTCGGGGATGCCTGCCTCGCGCGCCGCTGCCTTGACCTCGTCCGACTCGTCCTCGTTGATAATGTTCATGAGCATGCTGTTCTTGAGGTTCGACTTGGCTGAAAAGTCGAGCGACTTCTTGCCCTTGTCCATCGAGACGGGCCGCGGTTTGGGGCTCGGCACGCTCTGCGTGGATCCTTTGACCCGATCAGCAATCTTGATTTCCTCTTCCAAGCCCCACCCGCCTGCAGACGCGTTTGGCGTGGCGCCGGCCGCGACTGCCGCTGACGTCGCTTTGAGACCGCCAGACGTTGCGCTGACCGCGTCAGAGTGGTGCGAGTCGTGGGTGCTGGCCGACTTGCGTCGCGAATCTCTGAGCGAGTTGTGACCAGTGCTCGCTGCATCGGCGCCAGTGCTGCCGTTGCGCTGGTGCTGCAAAAAGCGAACTGCATTGGGAACGGACGGCGAGCCATCGAGCACGACCTTGGCCTTTGCAGCATCGTCCTTGCCCAACACAAACTGCAGACCTTCCACCTCGAGCACCGACTTGGACGTCGCATCGCTAGCAACGCGGAACTGGCCAGCAGATCCGACAGGCGCCGTAGTGGGCCGCTTGATCGTAGCCCTCGATGCCGGGCGAGAGGCACCCGCCCCAGGTCCGCCGGGGCCGGAGCCGGAAGAAGAGGCAGTCAGGCTGCCATTGGCATCCTTGAGGTCTCGAACCGATGCGCTGGCGAAGGGCTGCTTGCCGAGGCCAAGTCCGGGCTTGAGGGATGCGCCGGTGGCGGCGAGGGCGGTGCTGGGTCGTTTGCTGCTCTTTGCCGGCGGAGGAGCGGGTGTGGATCCGCCAGCCTTCTTTGCGAGCATGTGAGCCTGTGCAGCCTCCTGTGCCTTGCGCATGAAGTCCGAGCCGCTAGGGGTGCGTGCATGCTGAATCAGATGCGTGCCCTCTTCCTCCTCGGTGCTGGGCAGAGGAGCCTCTTGCTGGGCGGGACTGGGCTGCGGCGACACTGCCAGGACATCCGAATCGGCATCGCCGCCGCCATCCGAGGGTACTGGCTTTCGACGGATGCGGTAGGTCGAGGTGGAACTGGCCACGGAAGCGACAGAGGCAGAGCTGCCGCGCCTGCCAGCACCTACGATGCTGCCATTGGACTTGGCACTGGGAATCGAGAGCGTGGCAGACGGACTGGTCGGCGTATCGCTTGGCCTTCTCTCGATCGAGGCCTGCGAGCGGTTGCGCCGGCTGCGCGGAGATTCGCCGAGAGCGTCGAGGCTGCGGAAAGTCTTGGACGGACTGCTGGTCGGAGAGACCGACTCGCCGTTTGGCGGGGTCCATCTGGGCTCTGGCGGAGTGGGTGGCACGACTGCGGTCTGCAGAGGGTCGAGGGCTGATGGCACGATAGCCGGCGCGGGTACAGGCTCACCGTTGTCGTCTGCAGCAGTGGCCTCGCTTAACTTTGCATGATGAGACGCATCGGATCTTGCGGCCGAGTTCAGGGACTGAACAGTCTCGCCCTTGTCGGATTGGGCGATTGATGGAACGGACTTTGTGACCGTCTCGTGCTCTGCGCTGGTTCGAGGTGTCGTAAATACTTCGGCGACGTTTGTCGCTGCTTCCTTGCTGGCCTCTGGCTTTCCTAGAGGCGTTTTGCGGGCAATGGTCTCGTCGTCTCCGTAGCCGGATGAGGCGGAGCTCTGAGCCTGGTTTTGTGCGTCGTCGCCTTCGAACTCGACATTGTCAGTCGACGAGCGTGCCTCGCCCTTGGACGATGACGTCGCGGACGAGTCGGTCGACAGCATCGAGTCGCGTTTAGATGTTGAGATCGAAGCGAGGTTGGGAGAATGAGCTTGGTCGGCGTCTGACGAAGTCGGCAGCTGCACGATCTCGCTTCTGCGTTTGTCTGCGCGGGGCGAAGGGATCTCGAAGCTCTTGTTGGCAAAGATGGGCATCAAGGTAGCGGTGCGATAGTCGCCAGTGAGGAAGCTGCTGTGGCGGCGCGAAGTGGCTGCAGAGGGCTGGATCGGAGCAGCTGCTTCGAGGAGGCTCGAGTTGGGCGAGTGGTGCGAGTCACTGCGGGCCTCGGATTCGCGTGCGAGCCGGGTCCAGGAGGCTCGCTTGGAGGCGGGTTGAGCTGCTGCACCGATCGTAAGCTCTCGGAGCCCACCTGCGGCAACGGGGGATTTCGCGCCCGAGAAGTCGAGAAGAACGGAAGCGGAAGCCGAGTCCGGGGTGCGGGGCGAGACGGGAGGGCGATGAGGCGCGGTTCCAGGGCGACGCGATGCAGGCGAGCGAGACGAGGCGACCAAGGTGGAAGTGTGATTCCAGTCGTCTTCGCTGGTGCTCGAGAGAGACGCAGCAGCGGAACGGTGCTGATTGAACTTTTGCTCGAGGATGAGCTGGCTGCGACGTTTGGAATGGGGAAAGGCGCGGTCGACGTAGGGGCGTCGAAGGACGAAGCGGTCGTGAAGGTCGATGTCGCCCGTCAAAGCAGACTCGTAGCTTTCACCGTTGGAGGAAGCGTCGGCTTCGGTGGCGCGTGGTTCGGCGGGAAAGTCGCTTCCAAGGAGCAGAGGGCTTCTTCGCAGGCTGAGACCAGCTTCCATGCGATCGTTGGGGATCACGATGCTGGCTGCGTCGACGCCTATGCTGAGAGCAGCGGGCGAAGAGATGGATGAAGAGAGGTGTGCGGTAGGGCGCGGCACCGAGTCCGAGGCCGGGGCAGCCGGAGCCAGAGCCGGAGCCGGGGTGGGGTTAGGCGAGCCTCGACCTAGCACCGGAGAAGCAGAGACCGCCGAGGAGGCGCAAGATGCGACGGGGGATTGCGGGGGCGATGCGTGGTGGAAATCGGTGAATGCGCTGTGTGCGGAGAAGCTTGGAGAGCGTACGTATGACACGGTCATGCCTTGATGGGAGTGTCGAAGGGATGTTCAGTTGCTGACAGCCAAGTGCGCGGCGATCATGAGCGTACAAGCACCTGCAAGGGTTCCGAAAAGCGCTTGGAGAAGATGAGGAGCGAGTCGACTTGTGAGTTGCAACGAGCGCAGACGATGGAGGCCAATAGATGGAAGCAGATGCGCAACGATGTTGTCTCGCGAAAGCGGGCGAGAAAGACTAGAAGTGATGGAGCATCCCGGTCCTTGCGAGTGTATGGCGGTCGGAAAAGAGCGGAAGCGGCAGGGTAGAAAGATGAGGCAAGGGGAGGAGGGGGAGGGAGAGCGCAACGACGATGGCGATGGCCCAAGTCGAGAGAGGAGGGACGAGGGGATGGTCACAAGGAGCGAGAGGGGCCGGCCAAGCGGCGCAAAGAAGGAATCTTAGCAGGCTCAGGCTGCAGGGCGTGAATTGGGAGGCCGCGACCGGACACGCGTAGATTTGCGGAGAGATGATTCACACTCTCCTCCTGCCAGGCGCCGGCGAGTGCAGATCAGGCGAGCAGCGGGCAGGCGGCCAGGCGGCTGGGCGGGGATGGATGGATTGCGTGCAGTGGAGGTGTGCGCCTGCGTGTGCGCGCGTGCTTGCGGAAGGTGCGAACGTCGTGCAATGCTGAGGCGATGCCTGACGGCGCAAGCCAATGATGGTCCAAATCAACTCCGCCGAAACAGGAAGGGCCAAATCGGCAAGACAATGGACACTTAGACCTGAAAGCAAGGGAAAAGAAAAGGAAAAAAAAAAAAAAA